AGTCTGCTTGCTCTCAGATGTAAGAAAATATCTTATGTGGTTTATTGTGGAAACATTAAAAAAATTTAACATGATTTAGAACAGCCAGTGCAGAGGAAAATAACACTTACTTAACTGCCTTGGGAATACATTTTGACCCCACCTTAAATTGACTGCAGAACACGCAGTGACTCAACATAATAGTATATATATTTGGAACTCCCCAACTCCTATAAATTACACTACAGACAAGGAAGCTGCAGAAGTATTATACATTCAGGATCATCTTAAATTAATCTCTATTTAAAATCAAAAAAGTTCCATTGAAATAGATGGATATGAACATTTAATTCAGAATATTGAGGGGTCAAAGCAGGTATACAACTTCTGGGAGTTTAAAAATTCTTGAAAAACAGGAGTTATAACCCTCCAAGAAGCTTAGAGAAAATTATCTCTTTGTATCAGAAAGACATTATTCCCTGCTTTACTAATGGGAATTAATGCTTATGCAAAATGCCTTGGAGTTCCTACTATGAAAGAACGTGAGGTAGGCTAGAAGGGAGTATTAGTCATCTACTATACCTATTTAAAATACTTCAAGACTCTCACATTAGCATCTGATTAAAAAAATCCACATTCCTTTTGTACCTTATCTATAATAATGAAACAAAGGACAGTTTAAAACACACTAATGAAGACACTGTGCAGTGTCTTCTGCAGATGAGACTAATTCTGTTCTGAGTGTAATTGTATTTCAGTTGTGGCATCTGATTGTGGTTTACACAAGAACCTCTTGGTCTTTCTGTTTCCTTCAGAGTTGAAGGCTCTCAGGTTGCAGAGTTCCCCTCAGCATGGGAAAATGGAGTAATTTTACAACTTTCCACTGAATCTTCCAGTACGTACATGTCAGGAATTATTGTATATTTCCAAGTAATGAATAATTCTACAGCAAAACTTTGCAATTCTCAAAGGCCAAACTGACTACATCAATAGACAACTCTAAAATCAGTGTTATCTTTGAAAATAAATATGAAACAATGGCAAACTAGAATAGAGAAATTCTAAGGAATTGTTATTTTTGAAACTATAAAAAACTCCATGCACAACATAAAGGTCAAAGAATATCCTGCAATTCATGAGGAGTGACCTACAGGCTATTGCAAACCCACTTTCTGACCTTTCTTTGTGTCACTTCCCTAAAAAAATAGGCAGAGTTATTTCAGAGAGACGAACTGACTGAACAATCATTAACTGAAATCAGAAATTGCTGTGCATGTAACAGTAAACTATTCGGCATTTTATGATGAAAGACATGTTCTCTGCAAGGAGAATGTTCTTTGAGCATTCAAATTTCTCAGCTGCTGATTTAACGTCTTTACATTTTCTTTTGGAACAGAAAGTCCTAAAAACATGTTGATTTAAGGTAGTGTAGAGATTCAAAACAATTGCAACAATGCCAGTGTATGAATTTGAAATCTAATGTAAGATTATTAGTAGCCCATAATGTAGAAACTTTCTGAAAAGACTGGATTTGGATGAATTTTGTAGCCGTACTGTTCAGAGTGACACATTTAGAGTTGTCTCATCAGCTGTTCCTTCTGGATGACCTGCCAGCAAATGAACAGCAACAGCAGCTCTAACAGCAATTAATAAAACACCCTGAATGATTAACCAGTCTGGAATCAGCGTATCACAGAATTTTACTCAGTACTATTATAATAAAAATCTCTGTATTCTCCAAAGTACATGTATACAGGAATATAATATAGCGAGGAATTTTAGTGAAAAAAAAATGTGTAAACCCCACAAACTCTGACAACATAAGCCTGTGAAAACAGCAGCATGATCTCCAAAGAAGAGTAAAAAATAGACAAGGTGAAGACTTGCTTCTAATAAGATATTGCAAAAAGAGTCACACTGAGAAATGCTTTAAGTAACCTTTTATAAAATAAGGACCCAATTACAAGAAAGTAAAATAATATTCTTAGGAGAAAATTCTTGGTCCACATATTTCAAAAGTGCTTTTAAAAACCCTCTTAGTTCTAAAACATATTTCAAACTTCTTTCTTCGTCACTATCCAAGCTTGTTTCAATTATAACACAACTTTTTTTGTTAATTAAATGATTAAGCAATTAAAATGAAAATTTAAGTTGTCAATTTTTAATCTTAAGAAGGTAATTCTGGCAAGAGAATGAAAAATAGAAAGAACAACTTTTAGAGTATCCTTTAAGTTAGGGGGTTAAGCCAATATCCCAAATATTGAGGATGTTTTTATTATTAATTCAGGTAAAGCCCTTTTTACAAAATTTAAAAAAATGTGAGTACAAAACAAAAGTTCAGTTTTAGATAATGAGAGTGTGAGCAGAATGCCCGTAATAAGATTGCCTTCTTGTAAGATAGGACTTTAAAAAAAAAGAATGTTAAGAATTGTTTTTCTTTTTGGTTTGCATTTAATTCTAGTGCCATACCAAAGTAAATAAAAGACCATTATATTTTTAAAAAACATGTTTTCCATTTAAAAATGAAAAAAAATTATTTTAATAGAGAAAAATCAATATGTAATAACAATCTGCCAAACCCAGCAAATAGTTTGAGTAAAGTAGAGAAAAGAAAACAAGAAGCTCTGTTTTGAGAAAAGATTATCTTTGCCTATCCTTACACAGGCGAGGAACTATTTTCTTTTACTTTGAAAACCTTTATCAAATATCACAGAATTTATACTAGGGAGGAAAATCGAAATACCATAGAAGATCAGATAATTGCTCCATTAGTCTGGTATCTGATATCAGGCAGAGGCCAGCATCAAATTTTTCAGACAAAGGCAATAATTACTTCACAGTAATTAAAGGTTTTAATTTAGTGCCAGGCATTATGGAACATCCATTCTATACAGTTGAAAAGATCCTTCTTCCCCAAGGTTACTCAGAGTGTGAAGTTCTCTAGAATCTACACAGATACTCACACTGCCTTGAAAGTTGCTATGCTTGTTAGAATCCAGGCTAGAACTAAAAACCCATCTTTGTGAACATTTGGCAAAAGTAATCTCTGCATGGGTTGAACCCCAGGCCTCAACTGCAAACAACAATATAAGGATAAATTAGGCTCATAACATCAGAATGTAAAAAGTATATATGCAACAAACTAAAAATCTAGCCAACAGTTTCCTGCCAGCTAGTTTTACCAACCTTGATTTTCTTTCATCACATTCTCCCTTTCCAATTTGAATCCAAATGTTGGAAGAAATTTGAGACTCTTGAGGAAAATAGCTGTTGTCTACATTTGTCAATTTGTCCTAATGTTTTAATAGGTACACCTTTGACTTATATTTGGCTAATGGAAGTGAAAAACATAACAAATTAAAGTAGAAAGCAAAGCAGTGAAAGGTATATGGGGCAGTTTATAGAAACTCAATAGATGAGTAAGATACCAGCAAAGAGAGAAAAGTGTGAGGCTTAGACCAGGAGAGAGAAAATTTTTTTAAAGGGGTAAGGAAGTTTGTCAACCCTACACAGTGTTCCTGCATGAACGTGAGAAGTAGTTTCCTAGGGGGAAGGAGGAGACTGGGGTAAAGGAGTTTCTCTCAATATCTTACCTAAGTTTGAATCAAGGTGTAAACGTAAGTTCATAAATACAGAAAGAGTTGAAAGCCAAGAAATACTTGGCAACACAAGCCTAAGCTCTGCTAACTTTGCGTGACAGTCCAAGAGATAGAATATTACGTTCTATCCTTGCAAAAATATTCAGGAATATTCTGAGGAGAAGTTGTGTGGCATTATAAGACAGACTGTATGGTGCTTTGTCTTTGCTAAGAAGAACTTCTGTTTTACATCAGCCGTTCTGGAAAAGAAACGTCAGTGCCTCAGTTATGCAACTAAGCTTACTTTGTTTCAACAAGTTACAAAGGGTTAGCCGAGCCACAGTAACTCACTAAGCCTATTGTAAACCACCATAAAATTAAACTACTTTAACCTCAGATAACATGTTATACGTGTTTGCCACATGTTTAAACAATACAGCTGAGCTGACATGCAATAATATGGGCACGTGCCTGAGCCTTCATGCATGTAAATGTTCTCCACAGAAAGTTGCAGTTTTTTCCAAATTGTGTATTAGGTAACAAAGTATCACCAGGCAACTTTAGTTCCATAATAATAATTTTTCAGCAATAAAGACATATTCATACCTCTGCACATATCAAAAGAATTCAACAGCAACTAAATTCAGCCCTTCTAAAGAGAAGCCTTCTTCTGCTCGTCTGTCATTTGAGATTTGTGTTCAATTACTTTTTGAGCGTGGGTGCACATATCCAAGCTATGGTTTCATAATCACAAAGCAGCCTCTCTAAATTTTCGATATTAAGGCGCATTCAAGATTGTTTTCCCCCCATTGCACAATCCAAGCCTGTATCTGCACCTGTCTTCACACATAAGGGTGTTTTGTTGACTTCGTGTCTGCCCAGATTTCTTAAAAAATCCTGCTGCTTCAGCATAACGAGAGAAATATGCAATTGCTGGTTTCCCACGGGAGATTAGATAAACGTTCAAAAACCTACAGCTGAAAATAAGAGAAACTGAACTAACATTGCATTCTCCAGCCCACTTATAAGAAAAGCTGATCTAGCATCATTAACTCTGATGAAGTCAGGCTGTAACTTTCTGATAAAATCTACCTAAGGCACACCGTGAAAAACAAGCTACCTTTAAGGGCCGAAAATTAAAAGGGTAACCTCTACAGCCTGCCCTAAAGCACATGGAACAACACGTTCTGAAGGAGAAAACAACTATTACGGTTGTTGAAGTGAAACTTAAGAGAAGTAGGTTACTTCCCAACCAGAAACACCCTGGTTGGGGCTGATCAAAAGACGCCGCCCCGCAGTGTTCTGAAGTAACCGCGGCTATTCGGGCTCGGTGTGAGCCGCGCTAGCAGACGGCACCTCGCCATGAGGGCGGGCGGAGCGGGGCGCTGAGGGCGGAGGAGCCCGTGCCGGGCAGCAGCGGCTGCGCGGGAACTGCAGCTCCCGCCATTCCCTTCGCGGGGCGCGGCTCGCCGACCCGGAGCAGGAAGCACAGGATGGCGTCCCTTGACCCCAGCGCTGCATCGGAGAGCTAATGGGGAATGATGGAGGTGAGGCGGCACCGGGAAGGGTGGCGGGGAGGGACCGGGAGCAGCCGCTGGAGCGGTGGAGCTGCGCGCGTGCGGCCGCCTCAGCGCCCCCTCAGCGCTCGGCGGGTCCCGGCGGGCGGGGCTGCCCCGGGCACGGTCGGCCCCGGCCCCTCCGCACCGCCCGGCCCCGCGGGCTCCCCGCGGCTCCGCCCCGCCGGCCGGGACACGGACCGAGGCGGGGCTGGGACCCCGGGCCGGTGCGGTGCAGCCGTGAGGCAAAGGCCGTTCCTGGAATGAGTTACAGCCTCCCTGTTTGTGGTGGTGCTGTGGGGCGTCAAGTCACTTTGTTTAAGGGAGAGTTTTCCCCCTAGTTCTCCCTCTGCCTGCCCAGCACAGTCACTCGCAGGTGAAGGGGCGGTAGAGGCTTTCGTGAGGCGTTTCTCAAGGAGCAGTTTTGATTGGCTTTTTACCCTTTTTATTTTACCTGTTGCAGTGCAAGAGTGACGCTGTGTGGAGAATCTATCTGATGCCTTTGATACTCAGATACTATCATATCCACTGCTTTTTTTGTTTGTTTGTTTGTTTTTGTTTTGTTAAATATGGTTATCTGAGGTTTTTCATTCTTTGGCTCCTGTACGCAGCAGAATTCAATAAAACCAGAAGGAAACATTGATGTTGGAGACAGCTGCTAATGTAACCTGGATAAAAATTTACCAAATCAAACACTTTTGTGTCTATCCAGTTGTTTCTACATTTACTAAAATTTATAGGATTTTTTTTCGGTGATGAAATGGTTAGGCTAAATCTCGAACAAATGTAATTTATTTTTTTAATCCAGTAAGTTATGATATTTATAGTGGAAAGTGTCTCAGCTAATGTAAAGTTTTGCAGTCTTTGCGTGGACATCTGAAAAATAATTTGTGGATTTATAGCTGTAGTTTCTGCTTTGAAAAAGTAAGGATTACAGTTAGGCTGTTCAGATTTTGGCAAATTAAATAAGGCATCTACATAACAGATTTCCTTCACATTGTTATCTTGTGGTTTGAACTTGACTTCAGATGGTAAGCAAGCTGTATAGAGTTCAGACTTGTTTCTTTGTCCTGTACACTAGTGTTCTTCAAAAACACCGACATAAGGAGACGTTTTCTTCTATTGGCAGCTTTGCATAAGAGGGGAATATCCCTGAAAGATGTTTCTCTGATGTTTTTCTGTCAGTTGCTAAGCGATAGCTGGGCATTTACAACTTTTACCTAGCATGACCTCCCTCCAGGTGAGAAAATCTCGTCCATTGAATCTCCTTGAACTGTAAAAAGATGACAAGGAGATCCAGACTGTGGTTGTTCAGTATAGCTATTTTTATAGTCCTCTCCTGTTTAAAGTTACTTTGCTCCTACCTCAGTTTAAATATGCCTTGTACTTGCAGCTGAGTGAACTCTCAGTAGCACACCACTGTGAAATCAGTCCTTGAAATAGGGAAGTAACAAACTGTCTTAGTTATCCTCGAGCACATTGCAGTTCCCACTGCCTGGCATCTCTGCGATGAAATCAGACGTTTGTATGTCAAGGTGCTGTAATCCCGTTTTGGGGCAGTGGATGGAGATGAGTGGTTGTGGAGCTGCTGCTGCTGCTGACTGTGGAACTGCTGTCTGACTGCCCTGTGTATGCCTCCTCTGTGGTTCTTGTGCTCTTGCTACCCTTTTAGCTTTGTCATAAGATTATGTGTGCGCAGTAAGACTTTAAAAATCCATAAGTTGACCTCAAGCTCATAGAACAGGTTATTTTACATAAAGCATCATTCCTGAAAGATAGTCTTCTGTGTTTTTTCTTTACTTTCTTTTGGATCCTGGCTGTGTATAGGACACGTAACAGGATGGCTGAGATAAGTTGTTCTATCAAGGAAGCTTTTTCAGTTGCCTAATGAGAAGGCTTATAAGAACAGCTGGAGTTTCTTGCTTATTTGTTTTTTTAATGTTTTTACATAAATTGATACACTGTGGGGAGGAGAATAAGTCTGGTGTTTCAGTGGTGTGCATTGTTTTGTGGTTTGGGGGGCATGTGTGTTTAAAGCTGAGCTACTGTGAAACTCCTTCTGACCATAACTGCTATAACAGCCTAGGTATTTTATAATGAGCAGTTCATAGTCTGACAAAGAACAAAACACATTTAAAGAAGACGAGTAACAAACCACACATCTATCAAGCTTGATGGTATGTAGCCTCATATAGGAGCAACTTCTCTGCATACACGAGAACAAGAAATGAGAAGGGAAGGAATGAGTCTTGTTAAGACAGTTTATAAAAGATAACAGTTAATAAAAGTGATTGATTTGAAACTTTGTTATCCCCTAATTACTGGAATCGTAAGCGAAGAGCAGATCTTGGACTTGCTAAGTCCTGAGTTTTGAAGCAGAATATGGTGATGCTGTTGACGGTGATTGTGCAAGTTATTGTAGCCTTTCTGTTTTCTTGTCTGTAATGCTAATGATAATACTTCATTGAGTATGTAATGATTAAATTATAAAATGCTTTGAACATCTATTCTATGTGATATTATGCACTATCTAACTAGTTTGTGTAACATGAGCGAAATAAGACATTGTTTTTCTGAGCAGGTTCATGAATGATGCACAAAATAGATTCATTGCAGTTTGGTTAATATTAAGGAATTTGTTTTCTGTTATTGTAGCAGTATACTTTATTTCACAAGTGCTAGCATCCAAAATGTTTAATACATAGGGGCTATCAGGAGGAAAGAAGGAACAAAGTTATTCCAGAAGGAGTGGTTAACATTAATGTAGGAAAGACTGTCTAAACAACTTCCATATTAAAAAGAAGAATGTACTGCAGACTTCAGAAAGATTTATCTGTTTTATCGACTGACATGTTTGCAAAGTGGTACAGAAAAATTTACATGCCTTAAGGCATGGAAAACATGAATTATTAACTCTGTTTTAAAAGGCTCTTTAAATTCCTTGTTGCCAGATGGGATGAAAAAAGAAAAGTGTCCTCCTGCACTGCAAATGGCCTCCTGTTCAACACTAATTGTTTGCTAGTCTGGAGTCAGCTTTGGTGGATGAAGAAGGCTGGTGAGTGTAAGGTATGTAGATTTTTGTGCTTGCATTCCATAACGTAAAGGGACTGTGTGACACCTGGAAGCACTTTGGGTTTGGATGCCCCAAAGCACGTAACCACATGTTGCTGCGGTCATATTTTAATTAAAAATTGTGAGTTTCAAAGTTGAGTTGCAGGTCTTTCGATCAATAAGGATTGCTTTTCCAGCCTGGATGATTATTTTGTGTGGTGTAGGTCTTGTATGGGTTTTATTAGCATATATCTCTTAATTGTAAAGGCATTTTAGGAAATTAAGTAATTCAATGAATTTGACAAAGTTATTGCTTAATAACCTATCAGATGTCTGGGCTGTGTTCATAAGTAAGTATTTAACTTCATTAATTAGATCAGAAGTTAGGCCCTTCTAGCAAAGCTAACAATGCTAACATTGTTAGATGTAATATTAATTATTATAACTTGAGGTTTTTTTGTTTGTTGCTTATAGATGTTTGACAGAATCAGACGATCTGATGAAGCTTCTGCTTCTTCAGCACAGGGTAAGAAGTTCGAAGTAGATGTTTTTGTCACTGTTGCTCTTTAAAAAAAATACAGTTATCAGCATAAGCATTAGTTCACCTTGTATTGCATAATTTGATTTTCTAAATTCCATTACGGAACTTGGATGGAAGGAGTGACTCCTGAATCATCCAAAGAGTTTCCATGTAACTGTAATTCTCTTGTCCTGTTACAAACTGTTTAAGACATGTTACATTTTATCTCAGTTATCACAAATGTAGCAATATGAATGTAGATGGCCTAGTTTTGAAATCAGACAAATCAGTAGAAAAATTCACACCCAGCCATGAAAGAGTAAAGCTTATTTTATGAAGCTCTTGGATGAACTTTGAGAACAAAAGGATTCTTGAACCTACTAAACTTTTTATCTTCCTTTAAAATAGTAGTTTTGACAAATGCAATGTAAGAGAAGTAGCTAGTTGCAGGTAAACTCTCTCCATCTCTTTGATACTCTGTTGCTTTTTGTGTTTTGTTTTGTGTGTGTGTTTGATTGTTTTATTTTTTGTTTGTTCTGTTTTCGTTTTTCTGTAGGAATCCAAAGACATGGTGCTGAAGGTTCTCTACGTCGGGACAGCAGTAGCAGGTAAGTTAGGTGACGATTAACTGGTGCCTAGCTTACTGCTTACCAAGGTAAACTGGGAAGAATCTGCTTTTCAACTTTATCTGTTATTTTGTATAAAAGATGACAGTGAGGCACAGTAAGTGTGTGATGGAGGTCCTCTGTATCTTATACCAAACACTATTAAAAATTGTGGGGAAGGTATATTGTAGTGCCCAAAACTAATGTGTGAGTGTCAGGCATCTTTGGTGTTTTTTTTTCCCAAAATACTAAAAAACAGAAGAATGAGAAGATGATGACTCTGCCTTTTTCTGTAGAGGCAGTTCTTTTCAGATTTCAGCCCATTGTGCCTTCAAGCTGTTATCCTTTGTTGTGCATTTAAGAAAGAATTTCTCCAGTGAAATTTGCTTGGGAATACCTTAAAATACATAGTCCTACTTGTCATTGCAATTCTGAAATAGAAACATTTATCTTGCAAGTTTGTTCCATCACTCTGGTGAGATACATATTTAGAATTTCCATGTTAAGGACATGCATTAAATAACCCAACGTGTCTTGGTAATATTACCTCCTCCTTTCAGTTCCCACACAAGAGGGCAAGAACGTGCTTGGCCTGGAGCGTCCACTGTGCAAAATAGACAAGGGTACTGCAACTGTTGCCATGTACACTACAGTAATCTGGAACAGGTGAGGTGGCTTCTGCACAATTCAGCAACAGATAGGAAGGAGTACCAAAAGGCTCTATCAGCCTTTACATTGAACAACCCATACTGAGTGGAACAAAAAGCAATTTGAATTGCAAAATGTGCGCACTGAGAAAGATCCCCTTCTTGTCTGTTACCTGTTAAAAAGATGCTGGTGGAGTGGCATGGCTGCAGCAGTCTTTTTTTCTGAAGTGGCACACTGCTGTGCATTGCATCCATTAAATTTATTTCTGTGCCTTTAATTTTGATTTCTGTATATATTGTGAATTACTAAGGTTATAGTAGTATGTTTGATATCAAGGCTGAAGACATTTGATCAACTGTTTTCTATTCTTTAGCTCTGCCAGTCTCCTGTCTTTTAGACTTTTTAATAAGAAAGTAGAAGCCTATTTAATCTTCTACACTTATGAAAATTCTTGTTAATTAGAGTGAATTATAAGATGTTTACTCATATAAAATTCAAGAATATTTTAACAGTCATTCGTAGAAACATTTAATATATTTGTTCTAGTTAAGAGACCTGTGAGCAGCTGTGAGATTTGTGAGAGCATTTGTACTAGTTACAAGAGAGATTTGTCAGCACTTATCAGAACCATTAACTTAAGTTCCAACTCAGAAAGATATTTCAATACATTTTAGTGTTATTTGAGATTCCCTAAGCATGCTTAAAAACCTCTGTTAATCAAGTCTGTAAAGTAGAAAAGGCTGAAGACTTTTCTTTTTATTTAAATATTTTCATAACAAAGGTTTAACCTGGGAAGTAATATTTAGGAATAGGCCAGTGTGTTTACAGTAGTATTAGACTAATCACCTGTTTACCTTTCACCAGCATGTTTTCAGCTCCCAGCACAGACATTTTACGACATACTGTAGGAATCGTACAGGTACCAGTAGCTTGATGGAGCGTTTCCTGCAAGATGTTTTACAGCATCATCCCCACAGATACCATGACAACAGGTATAATACAAATGGCTTTTTTTTTTTTCTTAATTTGTGTTGTTAGAATGCATGTATTACAAATTCCTGTTTCTTTTATACTGCTAAGCAGTAAATTTTGCCCATTTGAGGTGAAACTTTTTCAATTAAGACAATTTAGAAAAAAACTGTATTTAGATGAACGTCATGCAAGTGTATTGCTTTTGTGTTGTCTCTTCACTGTTAAATTTTACCCCACTTAACAATTTGAGACAACACCACTGATAGCATTTAAATGTGAGGACCTGAGAAAAGACGGGTCAGCAGGTGTAATGGCAGACTGGACAATCTCATATGCATTTACAAATTCTTATAATTTGAGCTTTATCTATTTTATTATAAATATTATCATTCTGGGCTTAATAAATGTATTTAGCAGTGTATTTTATGGTATGTTTTGAGAGAGTTCATAATTTTGTTTGTGGACAATTTCAGGTAAATATTTGCTTATTTATTTTATCATCCTTGCAGTTCACATGTTCATTTAATACTTGAATTATATTAATTGGCCAATTAATTAGTGCTCAGATTTTGAAAAGTGTTCTCTTTGTTTATCGTGTGCATGTTTTAAGAGTGATAAGAAGGTCAATGTGTTAAGATTTCTCTGTAGATGAAGGAAAATAAATTAAATCTCATTCTTCATTTGTTATGTTTTGCAAGGCAGACAAAAATCCCAGTTTGATCCCAGCACAGTTGTCTTAATATACAACTCTGAAAAGCAAGTAGAAGAGTATTTTTTCTGAATGCAGTCATATTGATATTATCAGGAATGTGACAAAATAAACTAATATGCGCATCAATGCCAAATTAGCCCAGGGCATATAAGCATCACTACAAATAAATAAATTAATCCTTCCATCTTCAATAAATTAATTCAATCCCACTCTCTTAAGAATATCCACAATTTTTTGCCATGGAGAAAATATTTGCTTTAAGGCAACATCCAAATGAAAAAAACCCTCTCTTGAGGTGTCACTAATGCGAGGTTATTCCTTCGGCGAATGAAACCTACTAACTAGGAAAAACAAGCTACCCATGTTCCTCTAAGTTGTTTGAAGAAGGAATGGAATGAGAAAAATAATGTACAAAATCTAGATGAAGTTGGAGGAAGAAGAGGGAAGAGTAATCCCAAATCTAGACAGAGTTTGGAGGAAGAAAAACAAAGATGGAAAAGCGAGCGTGAATAGATTTATGTTGTGGTCCTGCTCTGAAAAAAAGTCATGGTCTTAACTGATATCTGAGGTAAGAATTGGATTCTCTTCTTTCATATTAAAACTCCTGGATTAATACCCATTTTCCACTCATTTCTTTAAATACCTGTTTTTACTATTTAGCTGAATTCACACAAGAGATCTTTAGAGTGTCATTTTAAAAGATTATGGAAGTATTTCTGAGTCTTGATTTGTTTTGCAGAACTAGTATACCTAATAGTTATGTGGAAAAAAGAAAAATTCATCAGAGCTTTGCCTTACACTGAATTTCAGAGGATATTGTTGTTCTGCCCCTCCCCCAGTAAAAAAACCAAACCAAAAGCAGATGCACACAGACCTCCAAATCATTCCTTCCTCCAAACTCTTGGTGTATAAGTTTTTTACGTAAAGAAATAATCTGAGCATTTAAGAGAGTAAATCTTCATTCTGCTTCTGGAGGTAATTTGTAGCAAAACTGTCAGAAGTACCTAACTGTATAAAACTGTAGTTCTGTTTCCTCCACCCCAGAGACATTTGCTTAAAAGTCATTTTTGAAAAGTGGATGCAGGTTGTTAACTGAGCTAGAAACCTATAAATTTGTTATATTTTATTTATGTCAAAATCCATTTAGTCCTATATTGAGTCTTTAAGGAGTGTCCAGATGCCAGGTGTTTCACGCAAAGATGGAAGAACTTTTAAGTGAGAAAGTTAAAGGATTATTCTTACTACCTTTGGCCTTCCCCTTAGGTCCTGTGTCAGAGCTTAGGTGGCCAAGAATTCATGCAGCAGTAGGGCACAGCAGTTCAGTTGACAGGCATTGTTTGAGCATCTAATGGATTTGATTACTTTGCGTTCATATAGTAATAGAAATAATCCTCTTTTTTAATGTTTCATTATACAAAGTTTCTCTTGCTTGGTCAGTCCTATAACCCTCAGCTGTATGTACTCTGAGTTATATAGCTAGGGAAATTACTGTGCAATAAAATGTATTTGTTATACTTCTGTTAGCTGATGTCTGCCGTGTATTAAAATAAACACCCATTTGTGTCTCACAAGGTCTCATTATAACTTTCAAATGAAATATAATATTCTCATCTTCAGTTATATTTACTTACTTTTAAAATTATTTTCGTTGGATTTGCTCAGCTGCTACGTAGTGAAGCCTTGTGGGTTCCTGTATTGCATAAGAGAAATAGTCGTAATCTGTCAGTTGTGTTAATTCTACAAGACACGAACCCTTGTATTTGAGGCAGTCCTAAAGACAGAACTGCCAGTTACAGAATATATAAAAATCTGTTGTCACAGTGGGACTGAACAATCATAACTTGGCTTCCTATAGAAGTGAGTCAGAAGCTGTGGTATGTCTGTGAGAAACAGTAAACATGGAATTCCTTGGCAACATGTGCAGGGTTCCTATCAGGCAGCCACGTTTTGTAGGGAAGAGGGCATTGATAGTCAATAGCGGTTTTATACTGTGTTGTAGTATTATGTTCCACTTCTCTACAAAAGAATTTTTCAACTTCTCTATTTTAATTAATGATATTATGACCAGTGAAATAACTTCTTTTTAAGCTACAACTTCAAACAAAGGAAATACCTTTACATTTTCTTCCTTTGCTGTATTTATTAAATTATCGTAATCTATGTTTGGCCATCCTTAATTGATGGTGGCATGAAGAGGGTAACAGACTAATGCCCAAGTGAACTTTGTGGAACATTCCCCCTTCCCTCTCCATAACTTTTTAAAATTCACTACCTCTGCTAATGGAGCAGAGCTGGTAATTTGAGTTTGTTCATTAGAAGTGATGCACTCTAGGTAATTACTCCTAAAAAGCCCCCGCACTGCTATTGTTTGAAAAATCTCAAATATATTTACATTATTTATATAGGCTGACTTTTTTTTTCCCCCCCTCCCCTTTAGACCAACATACGATGACATGCCACTTCCCATCACTCTGGAGACTCCTAGTATTTCTTGCCTGTCCCCAGCAGAGATGCAGAAAAAGAGGAACAGTGATAAACAGCAGATTTCCAGCAAAGACAAGGAGTCCATTGGTGAAATACACTCTTCTGCTCCATGCCTGTCTCACGAGGGCACAGAGAAAACTTCTATAACACAAGCAGTTTTTCAAAACCTAGAAAGAGGCCAGGAACATGTTCCAGGAATATCCCAGCAGTCTACTGGCATCTGTAGCGACAAGAAATGGGTTACTCTGAAAAATGCAAATCATAGCCATGAAGGTCAGTTTACAGCTGTGAGCCCTGTACCTCAGCAATTTTCCATCAGTCCTATAGTCCACAGTTCTTCTGCTAATCCTAAAACAGGAAAAAATGTTAGGGATTTGGCAGCATCCAATCTGTTTCTCCATAGTGAATGTGATGAAAGGGCAGCGAAGGCGTGCAATAGTGATGTGTTATTGAAGCCATGCTTGAATCCTGCTCCAGCACTGGCTCACCCAAAACGCTCTTCAGTTTCTCATCAGAATCCTACATGCAGCCACAGCAATTCTTTTTTTATTACCTCAGGTCAATCTCCCTCAAAGCGAGATAGTTTACGAACTCAGGACGAAACTTTGGTGTCTGATCTCCATCTCAGGGATACTGTGGGTATCAGCAGCTCCCTAGATCTTGGGACATCCCCACAATTAGCAAGATGCAAAAACGTGAAGACAAACAGAGGTGATGGAAGTTCAGTGGATGAAATTATTGAAGATGTAATTTTGAAATACTGCCATGAAACTACATCTGAAGAAATTTATATCAAAGAAGAGAATAATCCATGTTTAACTTTCTCATCACATCTGGACCATACTAATTTAGAGGGCTCTGAAATGAGTTTTGACTGTGATGCACCAATGCAGGCAGGAACAGACTTACCCAAGGCAGCTATAAAAGATATAGAGTTCCTAAAAGAGGTCCAAGTAAGTTTGCAAGATAAAGACTATGGAACACAGCTCTGCTCTGTTTTAAAAACTGAGTCAGTAGAGAAAACAGAAGCAGTGAAACAGGATATCATAGTTCATACTGAAGAACCAGTTCTTCCAGCTCTGCCTCATGTGCCTCCTTCTTTTGTGGGAAAGACTTGGTCTCAAATAATGTATGAAGATGATATAAAAATTCAAGAACTTGTGCGTGATTTCAGGGAGGGTCGTTTTCGCTGCTATTTTGACAATGAATCGTCAGCCAACTGTACAGGCAGGAGAACGAGGAAAAAAAAACAGAAGGATGAAAAAAGGATCAATGTTATTGAGGGTAACAGAACAGAAAGTGCACCAGTTAAAGCATTGCCAGAATTTAATGATGTTTTAAGTGGTGGCTCTGATTTTGATAACCCATCTTTAGCCTCAGATACTCTATGCAACCCACAAATACTTAAAATGCCTAGGAAAAGAACATGGCGACTGGCTTCAAGATGCCAGGTGGTTAAAGTCAGCCACGGCACCCAAACAAGTCTATTGAACTACCCTGTAGCAAAAAAGAAAATGTCTAGAAGAGAATCTGATCCAGCTGATCAGAAAGCAAACATTGCGCGGTTGGAGAATGAAAAAACTCCAAACATGAAAACTAGACTATGTGCCCTTAAGCTTCCAGAGTCCTACAGCAAGATTATGAGTCCTGTACAGCCCAAGACAGTGGTGTATGTACTCTCGTGCCCAGAGGTAAAACAGTGTAAAGGTAAACCTGTAGATGCTTCCAAAATGAGGAAAAATCGAAACTCCACAGATAGCAAGGACTCTGTAAGGTATAAATACAAACAGTGTTCTTTCAAGTATTATGATCCACTGACAAATCGAATTCTGAAAACGCCTCCAAAGAGTACGGTTGGAGAAAAGGCCAAAAAGCCCTCCCATGTTCGCCAGCTTTTCAGAAGTCTCAGCTTTGATGCAAACATGCGAAAACTAGCGGATGCACAGAGAGAAAGCACGTCATCAAAGTCACTCAACTGGTCAGACTACTACAGTTCATCTTCAGCGTCTTTCCTGACAGATCCAGATAAAGGGAATGATACAGCCTCAAGTCAAAAGGCAGATGGATCTTCTGTTTCCACAGAAAGAACAGATTGTCTTGTGTCTAGTCACTCTGAGAACTCTTTTAAACACTTGATCATTTCACCTTTGAACTCTGTGATAGAAGGAGATTGTAGATTAATTCCATTTAATAGAATTACCAAAACTCCTCTGACCTCCATCAGGAGTGAGTGGTTAGAGAGGGAGAATCCAAAGGCAATATGGAAGAGGAAAGAGGGCACTAATAAAGAACCAGTTTTTTCCAGAAAGGCTTCAGGATCTAAGTCTGTCACATGTACTGTTGGGAGGAGAGGAAACAGAGTAACTGCAGGCAAACAAACTTCCAGAACTAAAAAACAGCAAAAAGAGGGGTTGAGAAGACAACTTCATCCTCGTGCCCAGAAATCTGCTTTCTCCATCCATAGGTGCCAGACAAGGAAAACTACAGTGGGAAAGCACCCTAAGAAAGAAAAGCCTGATGCTAAAAAATTAAAGGTGAGGAGTAAACCAAAAAGGGCCTTTCTGAGCTCAACAGTTGTAACAGGGATTCCTGAAAAGAGGCAGAAAGTCACATCAGAATCTTTTCCCAAGAAACCAGAGCAAGCTTCCTCCAAAGTCAGGAACTGGAAAGTAAGTGGAGATCGGGGTCATCCTAGCACTGTGAACAGACGCTCTCGAAGAACAACTGCTGTACCATTACTTCGAAACTGTCTTGTTCTGCCAGGTGAGAGCTAGCTACCAAAAGAACTTTTTTTTCTTTTTTTATAGCCGGCACCTGGAAAAAGGAAGGGGGAAAAAAGGAGATCGTGGACAACGCAGTTGAAGTGCTAGAGCTCCAGAAAGTACAAAGCCAGTCTAATGTGAAACGAATACAACTGTAAACTCAGCTCTTGTTCCTGGAATAAGGGGACATGATGTATTGCACTGTTCTACTGTGTAAAGCTGCAGAAGTTGTAGATTTGACTTAAAAGCACTTAGATTCCTATTTACTAGACTTCACCTGTACATCAGCAAAATGACCTTGAATAGTATCATATTGATTATATGGTATTATCAGTGCGTGACAGTGCACTATAATAAGGTAATTTAGAAACTGTGTTAATTAATTGTGCCTAATTTAATTTCTTCACATAATTCTAAAGTGCAAAAAATGACCTGGTTGTTATGCTAGAAATTAAATGAAGATACATCAGTTTGGGCTGAATTCTGTGTATGTATTTTGTGTTTGTGTATATGCGCACCTTCTTCAACACGTAATATATACTTGCCTGTGGAATGGCATTAAAATTAATACAGTATGATACAATTCAGATCCATTCAGTGCTTTCTTGAAATGTAATTTTACACATTTTTGTATTGACTTTTTTCCTGAAAGCATGTCCAAAGCAATTGTTTTAGACAAAAAGTCACTGTGGGCTCTCATCAAGCAATAATGGACCATGTTGGTAAGGAAAATGTCTTTTTGGGGGACTGTTCAAATGGTGGTGGCTAAAGTGAAGTTCTAAATTCCAAAAGAAATACAGGCTTAGGTTTGGGGGTTTTTTGTTTGTTTTTGTTTTTAGTAGCTTATTGAGAAAGTTTATAGGTGAATTTTACATTCCTGAGTGGAGGGGGATGGAAAAGTAATAATGCAAATAAATAGCTTTGGGTTGTTTTGGAATGTCAACCTTAAGTTTGGGTTTCTGTGCTTTTTTGACTTTAATTGGGTGTACTGTTGGTTAAATTTTTATGGACTAGAGTTGAAACTATCAGTAAAATGTTTAAATAAACCTTAAGTAGCATCCGTGTTCAAATATTTTTTTAAATATTTAAGTGAATTAAAATTATATTCCATAGAGTTTCATGCTTGGCCACTGATGCTCCAACCAGTATGGTTTTATTGCAAAAAAAAATTCCCATGGTATTTTGGTTTAGTTTTTTTCCTTTTTTAGTAGTTGTTATGATGACAGCTTATTTAATGTGTTTAGGAGACATAATCCCCAGTCTTGCGGGTATCTCTTTCCTCTAAAACCCAAGATTAATTGTTCATTTTTGGTAAGTTAAGCACATAATTAAACATCATCACAATCAGCACTTTGGTTTTTAAATCTTCAATTTGGTACATTATATAGTCCATTTTACTTAAGAGGTCTTTGTATATTCTGTAGTGGTACAATACATTTTTCAGAACATGAGAAAAACATGGAAAAGCTGAGACTCTGCTGTTTCTGCCAGTGAACATAGTGTATGTGCATTTTCCCCTCAGAAAACAAAACTATTCTTGATTCATTTTCTGAAGTTTCAAGGGTCACTGATTTGAATTGAGATAAAGGTGGACTTGGAAATGGTGTATTTTAATATACAGTATGTGAAGGAAATGTTAAAGCTGTCATCATAAACCACATGTTCAAAGAATATTTTTGGGATCTTTTTAGTGTATATGTTTATTTCCCAAGATGAATAGAAGATTTATCATGTGCATGTGCACATGATTTATCATGTGACACGTGCACGTGTCAGATGGAAAGTTCCTTTACAAGGCAAATATGGTCTGACAGATTTATTTGTCTTGGTTTAATTTAATTTATTTTTTAAATAAAAGTTTATTTCTATGGATGAATTTTCCTATGGTTGTCAGTAGACACAGAATCTTATGACTGTATTGCAAGTCACTGGAAAATGAAGGGTTATAATGTAAGTTCTTATAGCCCTCTTAACTAATTGTGCCTGTATAATTTAATATTTTGTCTAATATAAAACTGATGTTTTTAAAGCAAAGTTTTAAAGGAATGGTTTTTATAGAGAGGCTAATTTTTAGATAAAGCAAAAGAAGATTTTTAAATATAGTTTGTTTTAAAGCAAAGCTTTAACTCTATAGATAAGTCCCATTCTAACATATTTTTATGATACATGAATGTTTTCCTATCCAATTTCTTCCATCTTATTTTTCACAGTATTTTACACGTGAAGAGCATGAATTGTTTTGTGTGTGAATAAGTGCACATTGTACTTTAAGATCACCAGTGCATATTTGTTTAGTCAAAATACCATTCTCCACACTCATTCATTGTAAGTTTGTCTTATTCCAGTACACAACTTTTCCTTGAAATCATGAGTAATAAAAATGTCTTGAGGTCTGTAAAATGGCTAATATTTTTAGACTGTAATGCCTTTTTTTGTTTTGTTTTTAATAATGGCCCCCTTGTCAGGGTGTTTTTTTTAGAATAAAAATGTATTATATTTAAATAAAAGTGTAAGTAGCTATATATTTTCCTTAAAAAAAAAAGAAAAATGAAAAAAAGGATGAAATGTAACAATTTATTAGAAGGACAAGATTTGAGGTAGAAGTCTGGAAACATTTCTGTGGTTTACAGTGTCAAAATAAGGTTTCCTGTAGATTTGGATGTTATTCTGTGCCTCAGTTCTGAGTGTTTAGCAACCTCTTCTGTGCATGCTCAATGACTGCTAGGAAAAAGAGGAGAGACAGTGATAGGAGAAGTAAATACAGAAACTGCTTTGGAAAGAGAATTGAAGAACCTATGTGCAAAACAAAATATTTCAGAGACAGTATCATGAGCAAGAAGGAGAAAAGGGAAGTTTTCTGGGGTCTTGAGGAATAGACAAGCACTTTTCTATTAGATAAATAATACATATTCTGCTGCCCTTTTTGAATACTATGTTGTTTCATTAGCAGTGTGAAACTTCAAAACATGATTGTGAAGTCTACGCAAATGGCAAATTTGAGAGCTGAAATACTTTCTCTCTGAAACTGATGGGAGTGTTGGTTGGTTTGGGGTGAGATTTTTTGTTTTGATTTTGTTTGGTTGGTTTTTCTTGGTTTTTTTTTAATGTTAATGGACAAAGATATTTTGTCAGTATGTTTGCGTGTGTTAATATAGAGAAGCAAGAAAAGATAACTGGATTAAAGAGGAATAAAGTTATGCTCTTTAATTCTAATTGGCAGCAGTTAGAACCAGGATATTTTACAATAGTTGAGAAAAATGTTAATTTCTCCTTCACTGCATATCCAGTTTTGACCTTCCACAAGTTCATAGGACTTTTTAATACACTTCATATTTTTTAAAAAGTCTCTCCCCACACAAAGTACTCACTCAGCCTTTTAAAACAATCTTATTCTAAGCAGCTAGATTTTTATTATTCACTAGTATTGTGAACCATGCGTGTGAGCCAGAGTCATGCTGTCCTAGGTACTAACCAAACATAGAATAGCAAGCCCCCAAAACTTTAAATGTCTGACACTTGCACCAAGCAGTTCTTCAGGTAATTTTCTGATAGGATTTTTTGCTTTCATGTTCTTTCAGACAAGTTTGCATCCAATGTTCTTGTAATTGTATTATGGAAGTACTCCTCTCTGGGACTCGAATAAAATGAGGCATTTCTGTTTATAATGAGACTATAACTTAATCTGAAGTTGTGTTTTAAGTTTCATGCAAAATTTGTGCCCAAATGAAAATATGTGTTTTTGTGGTTTTCATGTTCTTGTTATTGGTAATGTATTTTGCAATACTTTTGCTTGATGCTGTAATTTGTTATCTGCTTCTTTATCCCTACTGTCTGTGGTCATTTGATACATTGTGAGTTTGTAAGGGTACAGTGATATTACAAACTTGTCCCAGGCTATTGCTGGATGTTCTTTTTTTTGTATCTTCTGCTCATTTAATTTCAGATTTATTGTTTCCATTTTTTTTCTCAGTCATATATTCAAATTTTTTAATATTGTAAAGATCTAAATTACAGGACAGTAAATTCTCTTTGGAAGTAAATCAGTGACAGGTAAATAGAAGAGGTTGGTGTCCTGATTTGAAGTGTAGAGGGCAGGCTCTTACCTGTGCTCCTGTGCTCAGGAGTCTGCTTTACTTCACTGAGTAATGGGAAAGAGGAGCGGGATGATGATTCTTGATTTCTTTAGCGACCTTCCTTTCTTTGTCCCTTAGGGTCAGCTCTGCCTGAGAACAGAGTATCTGAATTCATACTGGAAAGAGAAGTGTTTCAATTGTTGGTGTTGTGGGGACAGATAGGAAAAGTAAATTGTGGCTCACTAATGTAACTAAAATCCCAGAATTTTTGCCTTTAATGATTTATCTGCTATGAATTACAGCATTCCTGATAATGTTTGTCAGAAAAATTTGTAATAGCATAGCTCTGAGCATGCCCAGAAACAAAGGTTTTGTTCCTTGGTTGGTTTGCAGTTATGAATTCATTCATTCCTTCAGCAGAACAAATCTTGTTTTAATAAAATAAAGACTGAATATGCGTTTTTGTAGTTTCTTTATTCTTGGAGTGAAATTTAACTTGGAGCTATTTGCTAGAATTTGTTGTGGAAAGAACTCCAGAGAATGCTATGGAATGAGCTACTACTGTGAAGGTACAGTCATAATTTAAACAGCTGTTCACAACTGCATGATATCTTGACTCGGTGAAGTCTTTTGTCGACTTCAGTGAAGCCAAGATTCATCCTATTCCATGCCAACTGAAGCAATGACACCCTAGGGTGGCATTGAAAAAGCACCAGGTGCATTTGAAATCTCTAACTTCATTTTGGCAGCATGAAATCAAGAAGCCCCAACTGCGTGGCAAGCCAGATCTTTGTAGAGGTTAACCAGTAACCGTTTTTTTCACAATGTGCACTTATTAAATGCACTGAGGGCAGTGGCTGGAAGGATCATAATGTTAAGCAGCTTTTTACTTTATGCAAAATGGCTTGGCCTCTCTGTAATCATAGACCAACTTAATGGATGCAGAACTGTCTTCAAAGCTGTGTGGAACAATACTTTTAAGAATATCTGGTAGATAGAATATTAGAATACCTTGAACAGTAGAATACCTTGTTCTTTAAATTTATTAGTCATTTGCTGTTTGTAACAGCGCCTGTTTAAACCAGTGTGGTCTTTTACAGGAGCAGTGCACACAGACATGTCATCTGGATCAATACACGGCTGAAGGGCATAGCCATGTGGTCTCCTACTTCACAATTTTCAATCCATACTTGAAGATCACTGTATACTATGTGGTTGGCTGAATGAAGTTGTTACTGTGCTATCAAATAATGATTAATTAAGACAGTTGTTCAACCATCTAAACCTGGATTTTCAAACATGATACTGTAAGCAAATTTTAAGTCAGGTGATTGCATTATATTTATGGGAAATATAAGTGATTAACAATATGCCTTTAGAGTGAACATTGGAGATCCAGTCCAAATTAGCATATTATGTGTTATGATGAAATTAGTAGCATAGTTTTAGTTCACTTTGGATTAATTGGAGTAATAAGTGTTGTTATTATCATTATTGTGTTTCTGTGGTTCTGGAAGTCATAATTATTTTCTAGGAGTGCAGATGCATTTTGGATGAAACATTATTGCAGTTTGTGTCAGCAATTCTAAACCTAGGCTCGTTCTTTGTCAGTGTTCTGCCCTTAAGGAAAACTGAAAAACCATTTTTCCCAGATGCTAGTGTTCATAAGAAGGTTTTAAAATATAATACATCCTCAAATATAAAGGTACTCAAATATAAAGGTATATTAATGTATTAAATGTATTACATACTAATGTATTAAAGCTGGTCAGCCTCTCATATTTGCTGTGTCATACTGTTGGCACTGGCGCATCTGACAACGTTGGTTATAGCTTAGTT